AACCAGCAGTCAGAGAGCGTTCTGCCTCTAGGAGGCCTCCTTATGAGCCCGGCAGAGTAGTCAAACTAGCCAATCATAGCATCAGAACTCTAAGCACCTGAGAGAGAATGGGCACCTCCCAGAACATTGTTTTGTGCCACTCCCAACAGAAATACTCCAGGTGGACACTTTCAGCAATCAGGAGCTCCTCCGTTGCACATAGCAAATCCCATCTTGGAGTTTACAAAGACTTATGGGTAGAAAAGCCACACAAAGTAATTTACTACTCTGCAGACTAAAAAGGAGCATCATGATAAATGGAGAAAAGATTGAAGTTGTCAAAGATTTCTTATTACTTGGTTCCACGATGAAAACCAACGGAAGCAGCAGTCAAAACATTACATGATGTATTGCACTGAGCAAATCTGCTGCAAAAGACCTCTTTAAAGTACTGAAGAACAAAGATGTCTCCTTGAAGACAAAGGTGCGTCAAACCCAAGCCATGGCATCTGACTGCTAACCAGAAGGCTGGCGGTTCAAATCCACCAGCCACTCCTCGGAAAGAAGGTTGGGCAACCTACTTCTGTAGTGATACTGCCTCAGAAAGCCAAGGAGGGATGGCTATGAGTTGGGTCCAACTCGACAGCACAGCACGTAACAACAACAATAACGTATGCATGTGAAAGGTAGACAATGAATAAGGAAGACCAAAGAAGAATTGATGCTTCCGAGTTGTGTTGCTGGTGAAGAATACTCAAAGTATCATGGACTGCCAACAGAACTAACAAATCTGTCCTAGAAGAAGTGCAGCCAGAATTCTCCTTGGAAGTGAGACTGGCCAGACTTCATCTTACCTACTTTGGTCACATTGCCACAAGGGACAACTCCCTGGAGAAGGTTATCGTACCTGGTGAAGTGGGTCAGCGAAAGAGGGGAAGTCCTTCAATGAGATGGACTGACACAGTGGCTGCAATGATGGGCTCAGGTATAGTGGGAATTGTGAGGCTAGCACAGGACCAGACACTGTTTAGTTCTGTTGTATATAGATCTGTATGAGTTGGAGCCGAGTCGACAGCACCTTCCACCACCACAAGCTAGGTGCCCTCTACAGTCAAAACTGGGAACCACCTCAAGTCAACTGACTGTGCAACGTTTAGATGTCAAATTATCACTGGGATCCCACAGTGCCCCGGGTTTGCTGGGCCGCCAGAGCAGTGTGGTCACCAGGAGGTAACTTATCTTCTGTCTAGAGATGCGCTGAGGCAATGGCAAAGAACAAGGCTCTAGGAATTGATGGAATACCCATTGAGATGTTTCAACATATGGATGCCCCACTGGAGGTACTCACTCGGTTATGCCAAGAGATTTGGAAGACAGCTACCTGGCCAACTGACTGGAAGAGATCCGTATTTTTACCCATTCCAAGAAAGGTGATCCCACAGAACATGGAAATTATCAAATATCATTAACATCACATGCAAGTAAAATTGTACTGAAGATAATTCAAAACGGTTGCAGCAGTATATTGACAGAGAACTTCCAGAGGTGCTGGCTGGATTTAGAAGAGGATGTGGAAAAAGGGATATCATTGCTCATGTCAGATGGATCTTGGCTCAAAGCAAAGAATACAAGAAAGATGTTTACTTGTGTTTTATTGACTGTGCAAAAGCACTTGATTGTGTGGATCATAACAAATTGTGGATAACATTGAGAAGAATGGGAATCCTAGAACACTTGATTGTACTCATGAGGAACCTGTACACAGACCAGAAGGCTGTTGTTCAAACAGGAAAAGGGAACACTGCATGGTTTAAAATCAAGGAGGAAGTGTGTCAGGGTTGTATCCTTTCACCATACTTAAGAAAACAAAAATCTTCACAACTGGACCTATAAGCAGCATTGCGATAAATGGAGAAAAGATTGAAATTGTCGAAGAGTTCACATTGTTCTACAATCAATGCCAATGCAAGCAGCAGTCAGGATATCAGACGACTTATAGCACTGGGCAAATTGGTCACAGAGGACCTCTTTCAAGTGTGAAGAAAGCAAAGATGTCTTCTTGCGGAGTAAGGTGCGCCTGACACAAGCCATGGTATTTTCAACCGCCTCATATGCATATGAGAGCTGGACAATGAATAAGAAAGACAGAAAAAGAGTTGCTGCTTTTGAGCTGTGGTGTTGGCGAAGAATGCTGAAAGTACCGTGGACTGGTAAAAGAACTAACAAGTCTGTCCTGGAGAAAGTGCAGCCAGAATGCTCCTTGGAGGCAAGAATGGCCAGACTTCTTCTCACCTACTTTGGTCATATTGTCAGAAGGTACTATTCCCCGGAGAAGGATGTCATGCTTGGTAAGGTGGAAGGTCGACGAAAGAGGGGAAGGCCCTCAACAGTGGTCGCAGCAATGGGCTCAAGTGTAGTAAGAATTGTGGAGCTGGCTCAGGACCAGGTAGTGTTTTGTTCTGCTGTGCACAGGGTCACTATGACTCGGAGACAACTAGATGGCACTTAACAACAACCTGTCTAGAATGGCACTAGCTCATACTCTTGTTGTCGTATGGCATAGCTCATAACTAGCACAACCAGAATGTTCCAGAGAAGCGAGATGGTAAACTTCACCATGCTTACTTCAGACACATTGTCAGGAAAGACCAATCACTAGAAAATGACATCATGGTAAAAGCACAGTGCTGTGGTTAAATTTGTGTGTCAATTTGGCTGGGCCTGGTTAAGTGGCTGGGCAGCTGGTGGTAGTTATTCCCCATGATGAGACTGGCAATCAGCTCCATGGTGGGACCTACCACAAGCAGGTGAGTAGCTGCTTTAGGGATGTGGTCTGCTTCTC